TTAAAACAGGATCAGTGGTGTCGAGAAACTCAGTAACCGAGTCAAACAATTCGAATAAACGGCGCAGACAGTTTCCTTTTGAAAGCCATCTCTTAGCTGTATGTAGGAGCAAGTCTTCGAAATCTTCATCACTTTCATGACAAAGTTCTCAGAACATAAGGTCATTGAGAGAATTAGCTTCGATTTTATTGATGACAGAAATATCGAATTTTAAATTGTCATGCAGGGCACCACTCAACTTTTTTGCAGCCAAATGTTGACGATGAATGGTGATGACCTCCGGTACTTCTTTTTTAAGGTGTGCCAGAAACCCAATATGACAACCAGACATGGTTGGAGCACCATCTGTTGCACAAGCACTTACATTTGTGAGGGGGATTTCTTTTTCCTCAAAATAATCTTTGACCAATTTAAAAATCGACGATCCTTTTGTATCTGTGTTCAAAGTTCTTGTAAACAACATTTCCTCGTTAATCTCCTTACTCTCATTTATGAATCTCACGTAAGCTAAAACAGCTTTGTTATCTATCACAGTTGATTCATCAATCTGNAGTAATAAACATCAAGGTGTTACACTTCCACGTGTCATCAGTAATAAACATCAAGGTGTTACACTTCCACGTGTCATCAGTAATAAACATCAAGGTGTTACACTTCCACGTGTCATCAGTAATAAACATCAAGGTGTTACACTTCCACGTGTCATCAGTAATAAACATCAAGGTGTTACACTTCCACGTGTCATCAGTAATAAACATCAAGGTGTTACACTTCCACGTGTCATCAGTAATAAACATCAAGGTGTTACACTTCCACGTGTCATCAGTAATAAACATCAAGGTGTTACACTTCCACGTGTCATCAGTAATAAACATCAAGGTGTTACACTTCCACGTGTCATCAGTAATAAACATCAAGGTGTTACACTTCCACGTGTCATCAGTAATAAACATCAAGGTGTTACACTTCCACGTGTCATCAGTAATAAACATCAAGGTGTTACACTTCCACGTGTCATCAGTAATAAACATCAAGGTGTTACACTTCCACGTGTCATCAGTAATAAACATCAAGGTGTTACACTTCCACGTGTCATCAGTAATAAACATCAAGGTGTTACACTTCCACGTGTCATCAGTAATAAACATCAAGGTGTTACACTTCCACGTGTCATCAGTAATAAACATCAAGGTGTTACACTTCCACGTGTCATCAGTAATAAACATCAAGGTGTTACACTTCCACGTGTCATCAGTAATAAACATCAAGGTGTTACACTTCCACGTGTCATCAGTAATAAACATCAAGGTGTTACACTTCCACGTGTCATCAGTAATAAACATCAAGGTGTTACACTTCCACGTGTCATCAGTAATAAACATCAAGGTGTTACACTTCCACGTGTCATCAGTAATAAACATCAAGGTGTTACACTTCCACGTGTCATCAGTAATAAACATCAAGGTGTTACACTTCCACGTGTCATCAGTAATAAACATCAAGGTGTTACACTTCCACGTGTCATCAGTAATAAACATCAAGGTGTTACACTTCCACGTGTCATCAGTAATAAACATCAAGGTGTTACACTTCCACGTGTCATCAGTAATAAACATCAAGGTGTTACACTTCCACGTGTCATCAGTAATAAACATCAAGGTGTTACACTTCCACGTGTCATCAGTAATAAACATCAAGGTGTTACACTTCCACGTGTCATCAGTAATAAACATCAAGGTGTTACACTTCCACGTGTCATCAGTAATAAACATCAAGGTGTTACACTTCCACGTGTCATCAGTAATAAACATCAAGGTGTTACACTTCCACGTGTCATCAGTAATAAACATCAAGGTGTTACACTTCCACGTGTCATCAGTAATAAACATCAAGGTGTTACACTTCCACGTGTCATCAAAGAAAAGGGAAACCGAAGAGTGTCCCGCTCGGTGAAACGGAATCAGCGCCAGGCAGCGGCTCAGCTGATAGCCTAATACAATACAGGTTAAGTGCTGATAGCCTATAAACAGGTTAAGTGCTGATAGCCTAATACAATACAGGTTCTGGAACACACAGTTCAGTGGACTCTGTTGGATATGGGACTGCACAGCAGACGTCACTTTGCCCGGGAACTTCTACACTGGACCATAGATAAGTGGAAGACAGTTGTCTGGTTAAATGAATCACGATTTCTCATTCCTCACGTAGGTGGTCGTGTCAGGTCGCCATCGTCTCGGAGAGCAGTTGCTCCCCACAGGTACAGCAAGTCATACACAGGTTGGTGGTGCCGGTATTATGCTTTGATGGTCTGGATTGTGCTTATAGGTGGCCCTACGGCCATTTATATCGCCTGTTTCCCCAACTGGAAATGGAATCCACCCCATAATTTACAAGGCTTGGATGGTGGAGTGGCTCGAAGAGCATAACGATGAATTCCAATTAATGTCCTAGACACCAAACTCGTCGTATCTTAATCCGGTAGAAGGTATCTGGGATGTCATACGAAGACAGCTCATAGATCAATCATTATAATGCCAGAATATCTTGATTTTGCTGAGGCAAACAATACAACCTATCGCCAGTTATTAGCCAAGAGTTTGTAACATCCATGCCAAGGCGAGTTGCAGCTGTTTTGAAGATCAAATATGTCACCAGTTATTGAGTAAGTGGTCATAATGTTTTGGATGATCAACGCAATTCCCCAATTACCTAAATTTATACATTACACTCGCTTTTCAGCATTTTATTTATAAAACGAAAAATAATCATTTAAATAAATTTATTGTATGTTGTAGGATGTGATTATATTTTTTGTATCAACTAAATGTTTTGTAATATTTGCTTAAATAACAGCAAAAATTTCTCATATGCGTATTTATTGTGTTAATTCTTTATTTATTGAATTTCATCTCTTTATAGAACACTACACTATTTAAAAGCTTAACATCAGTGTCTAAAAAATATCCAAATTTTCAACTAAAAATACAAATCAGAAGGGGAGTGAAATATTTGATTTGGAAACAAATCAAATATTTCACTCCCCTTCTACTATCATCTATTATATACTGATCTCTACTATTATCTTCCAACTATTAAGGAAACAAACACTTATTTTCACCAATTCGAAACTATTTCACAAATCCGAAGACCCAAAACTGTTAAAAAAGTTGTTTAATAGCTGGTGCTTCTAACTTGGGCACATGAAAAAACCAGTTTATACTCGAAATGAATTTAGGACTTTTTAAAGACCACCTTTTTATTTTTTTATTTATTTTATTTTATTTTATTTATTTGTTTATTATTTATTTTTTTGAAAGACAACATTTTAAGATGAGTAATCAACTTATAAAATACTCAAGGTTCTATTTGATTGATTGATTGATTTGTTCATTTACTACGCACTAGAGCTGCACAATGGGCTATTGGCCTCAGTCTGGGAAACATCCCTGAGGATGATCCGAAGACATGCCATCACAATTTTGAGTAGCCCGACGACCTGCACGCGAAGTCGAGCACTTTACTGTAGAACAGTTTAACGTGGACCAATACAGCACACCCACGGTCCCTACGCAGACTGATCCAAGTGGTCACCCACCCGCACACTGACCGCAGTCAGTGATGCTTGACTTCGGTGATCTGCTGGGAACCGTGTCTTAACCATCAGTCCACTGCGTTACCTCAAGGTTCAAACTGAGTTATATTGGTTGGCTGATAGTGAATGAATTGATTCGGAAATTTTACCAATTTCACGATCAACGGCTGGCTGAACCACTATAATCCAGCAGTGCGTTCGTTACATTGGTTGACTGGATTTTAGTAATAGAGAAATAATTTTAAATTCAATTTAACTGTTGCAGGCTTTCAGATTCCTTGAACTCTTGCTTGAGCTTTTAAATTTACATAGGATGTTGGTTCTGTCAGTACCATTATATAGTTACTTTTAGCATCTTATTTTTTTTCTTGCTGCCGCTTTATTTGTTTTATCTGTAACTTATCTTATACTTCTAACTTACCAACTTATCTTGGATTTTGTTGGTTTTCCCTCTCTAAAACCATATTGATTTTCCTTAAGCTTCCCATTCATTTCGAGACTGGCTGCGGTCAGTGTGCGAGTGGGTGGCCCCTTGGATTACTCAGCGTAGGAACCAAGATTGTGCGGTATTGGTCCTCGTTTAACTGTTAAATGCTCGACTTCAAGTGCAATTCGTCAGACTACAGAAGCGGGGGTGCCGTCCCCTCTGCAGAGGATCAAAATTGTGATGGTATGTCTTCGGATCATCTTCAGGAATGTTTCCCAGACCGTCGCCAATAGCCCATTGTGCAGCTCTAGTGCGACGTAAATGAACTACAACAACAACAAATCATTTCATGACACTAAACCATTCTTTCATGTAATGTCATGGCGCTGGTGATCAGTAATATTAACTGATGCACGTGCAATGCTTCAGTTGGAATTTTTTGAGACTTAGCAGCATTGTTTTTATAGTTCAGCAGGGCCATCTATTGACAAATGTAGCGAACTAATTTTAAACTTTTTGAGAAAAGTGCTTGTATTCCTGAACAGATCACAGTAAGCTGTACATTTATCTCTGCACGTGTTCATGCCAGATGCTCCTTATGCAAAATCTCTCTAATGTCTGCGATTTAACCTTTTACGCTTGTTGTTATTGGTGATAAATTGATGTACAAGCGAAGGTAAGGTAACCATTAAACGACTCGATCCCTATATAGCACTTATAATCTTTTTGTGGCGTTTTAAAGTATTAAAGTTTAAAACGCCATTTTTAAGACAACTAACTAATGCAAATTTCAAATTTGGCAAATAATTTTTGGTCCTGTTTAAATTATATCCTCTAACATATTTTGTTTCAGGTTGGTGCGCCTATGGATGTCAATGCCATGCGATGTCAGTGAATGTCTTCATGGAGTTGAAGAAAGCTTCTCACGTGAAATGGGTGTGTGCAGGCCATTAACGTTGAATTAGTTCTCTTTACAACTCCTCAGAATGTTACCATCGCCTTAAAAATATCGAAATCTTATTAGAAATATTGAATTTATATAGAAATTGCATCTTAGATTAGTTTTGTCCGCTGCATATTATTATTTTTTTATATTAATATTGTTTTAAAAAAATGACGCAACCAAAAATTGATGAGTAACGTAATCATAGAAACTTTTTCACAAATTTTTAATAACGAAGCCATAAAAGCTGTTGCTTAAAATTGGTTAGTGTATTTTAAGCAACAGTATATAAATGGATACAGGTATTTTCCATTTATGCAATGTACAGAAAACTGTTCTGTATTCAACATTGACTATACACGAATTTGAGGTCTTTTCTCTCAAAGTTTACACATCTCACTTACCTATTCTTCTAGTGTGTTTCTAAGAAGTGGGCATTAGGAAAGCATTAGAAAGGTTCTGGGTTTGAATCCCGGGCAAGGCATGGATGTTCTTTCCTTCTCTGTACTATCTGTCCTCACTGCGGGAGCGACGTTGGCCCACCTAATATGGTGCCCCTGAAAGAGAGGCCAACAAAATCGCCCTGTAAATGCCTGAATTGACGGATGTTAACGCAGGTGGGCATTGGAAGAAAATGTTTCTAAGAAGTTAGTCCTACTTGAATTAAACACTTATATGCTGTTCACTTGTAAGCACTGAGGTTCTATAGTGACCTTGGAAACATGAATCTGCTACCATCTGTGCTGCACTTCTCGAACTTATAGTTTTTCGAGGCCACCTAGTCGGTGTGGTGGGTTAACTCTATACCAAGTTAGGGTCGGCGTTCGATTCCCCCGTTCTAAAGTCTGGATTTCAGATCGGACTGCACTGTCTTCGATCATTTCCTTTTGGTTAGGAATCTACTCCAATAGGATGATCCCAAATCCTCGCTTGATGCAAAAGAGAGCCATCTACTGCCATTTCTTTTGATCTAAATTTTCATAGTGGTGTACGCATATGTTAATATTGTCTTTGGATCATCACTGAAGGATGTCCCACTAGTTCATTAGTATAGTTTTAGTGCTACTTCAACAATCATACCAAAGAAAACCCAGTCTTTCAAGCACCTTTTGGTCGTGTTATTTTTTTGTTTTGTTTATTTTTAAATAGGCAAATACAGGCTTCTAAGCCTTTGTCAATTTGAAGAACAAATATCACGAGTAAGAGAGGGACATTACAAAGATACTCCCAATGCTACGGTGGTATTCGAACCCGTTACCTCAACGCTACATAATGTTCGGCGGAACAGTGAGACCCGCTCGATCAGGGAGGTCCCTCTTGATTTTATTTAATGCTACACATACCTATGCAGGCTTGTCTGTTTATTACAAAGACGTTTTATAAGCCTTTGTCTGGTTGAAGAACACTTATTACAAGTTAGGGAAGGCCACCACAAAGATGCATACAGGATTCCGATGGGATTTGAACCCGCTACCTCCACGTTACAGAGTGTTGGGCGGATGAGCCAGACTACTTGAATAGGGAAGTAGTAATTATACGTTGCGTTGGAGCTGCACAATCGGCTATTGATGACGATCTGGGAAACATATACGAGGACCGAAGACATGGCATCACAATTTTGATCCTCTGCTAAGGGAATGGACCCCCCCCCTTTGGTAACCTGAAATCGAGCACTTTAGGGTCAAAGTTGCCACCCTCCCCCTCACTGACCGCTGCCGGTGATGTTTGACTTCGGTGATTTACTGGGAACCGTGTCTTACATTCAGCTCAATGTTGGACTAGATAGGGAGGCAATGGCTTCTCTTGACTGTGTTTAAGAATGCATTTGTGGGGGAACGAACTGGTAGTAGGTACCAATCTATCAATCAGAACCTATAAACCAATCAATTAATCAATCTACCTACCTCTTTTCATAGTGTACGTGTATTAGTTTATTAAGATGCTGTTTTGTACATATATCAAGAGATTTCGAATATCTTAAATGAATTTCACTGCAAAGGTATGTATTTACTCATTTATTTGCTTAAACTGAATGGTTTTTATTTTAAAAAAGTGTATATGTTTCTGTACTCGCGGTTGTATGGGTCGATTACTGTTAAAATAAGTGATTTAATTTAAGTCCGTCAAATTAATTCGTTTCTCTAATAAACTAAACAATAAATAAGTTACCAAAATCTCTGACTGACCCTTTAAGTGTCATTTAAAATCAAACATTATAATTTTTAAGCATAGTGAAATGAAAGAGAACATTTTTCATTACTAAAAATTCTCTTTGATTTCAATAGTGGTTGCATTACAAAAAATTACATTGGTTGTGTCATTTTAAATGTCTTCTATGTTATTAAGTTTTAAAAATTTATTTTGCTACGATGTATGTTTATGGTAGATGATGTAATAAATAGGCTGCTAAAGACTGTGATAGTTATTGTAGATTAATTTAAGTTTTTACCTTAACAGAAGTTTGAAATGTTTGTTGTGTTTAAAAAAAAAGGTAAAGCAGTGTAGATTTTTTGAAAAAAATATCAATTTTAAAATAATTCGACAGTATAAGCAACAATGGAATTTGCATAAATGAAAAAGATAAAGCACTTTTCAGACTGTCTGCATATATAAGGTGATCTGTAATAATCACCCTTTAGTTAATTTTTAAATTAATTGAAAAAAAGTTAGCACATTTGGAGTCACAAATTAATATTTACGTAACGGATGAAATTTTACTGAATAAAGGAATATAAACATCAAAACCAATTTGATTGTCTGAGGAATTTTAAACTCCCCTTATCCAATAATGATGCGTTATATTTCGAAGCTCCTTTGTTTGTTTGCTTTTTTTTCCTTTGTGACCCCTACTTATAATCTTTGTCAAATTCTTTTTTAAAAAATATTCCATAAATATACATCCCGAGTAGCCATTACAAAACAAGCTGTTGCTGTTACGAAAATTTTAAATATTTTTTGTACAAAACATCGCTTTCACTCTCCTACCTGATCGTACCTGCAATTTTTAAGCGATTTACTTGGAAACGAAAAAGTATGTCTTTATACAACTTATTTAATTTCTGCTACATGTTTTTTATCATTATTTTTATTGTCTTTACAATCAGTTTAAAATATGGTTTTGAGATATCATTAAAAAATAGGATTTAATTACTTTAATCTGAAACTAAAAATGTCATAGAAAAGTTGAAGACTTCCCGGGTAAAAGAAAATTAGAACCAACATATTTGTAGCATTGAAATTAACATATTCATGTATTCTAGAAACATATTTCCATTATATATTTTAAAAAAAATTGTGCAACATTTGCTAAACACTACTGGGGCAAATTAAAAGCTCTTGTATAATATATTAACCTTATAGGGAAGTGAAATATTTATAAATTATAAAATAACTATATTATATATATATANATATATATATATATATATATATTCCTGATATCACTTTTTAACTCTAGCAAGGTCTTGAGTTCCTACGTAAATTTATTGATAAAGTCGTCGCATCTGCGCAAATAAAAATTATATTGAGTATAGATAAGGTAAAATTCGCTAAACTGGTCTGAATAAAAAAAGCGCTGCGTTTGTATTCCAATTTATGTTCTTCCGACAATGTTCTAGTTTCTCATCGTATGTACTGATGCAGTAGGTAAAATCCCAATTACTAGATCAAAAGTTTATCAAAGCAAGCATTTTTTTAATAATGTGCAATGTAGAATGCGCAAAATAAGAAACGAAGAAAAAAAAAAAACGAAACAACTAAAGGGATCTAAAAGGTTTTCTTCAACAATTGTTCTTATTTTTTGAAGAAAAAAAATATATATTATAACCTGTTTTATTCTGAGCCATTTGACTACAAGTATAAAATAATACTCAAAGAACTTCTAAAGTTACAACAAAAATGCTGAAACCCCATCTCTGACAACAGAAAATAACAGACTCATTTCTTATATTGGAATCGTCTACTAACTCATGTATTTTGTTTAAAGTTATTTATTCTAAGTCTTGTCTTTCAATATATTTTTCAAACCTGGCTCGCAAGATTACTCGATCTCTTACAAACATATTAAATAAAATCTTGGTAATTGTTTTGAGCATTGTGATTGGTGCATGCCAGTAAATATATACATATAATATATATAATACATATTTTTGGTCAAAATAAATGTTCTTATTTATACAAAAATCCAATGAATTACGCTTTTTTTAACTTAAAAAAATACTATTTTTCACTTTTTTTAAGCTAGTATTTTTTTAAAAAAATAATGTATTTAACTACCTTTTGAAAACTATTTAATTAAAAAAAAGATACTAAAAAAAACACTACTTTGGATAAGCACATTTTATACGAAATACGCAAAAACTATCTTTTAGAAACTATTTGATTAAAAAAAGATACTGAAAAAAAAACTACTTTGGATGAGCACATTTTATACGAAATACGCAAAAGCTACCTTTTTAAAAACTATTTGATTAAAAAAAGATACTGAAAAAAAAAACACTACTTTGGATAAGCACATTTTATATGAAATACGCAAAAACTACCTTTTAAGAACTATTTGACTTAAAAAAGATACTGAAAAAAAACTACTTTGGATAAGCACATTTTATACGAAATACGCAAAAACTACCTTTTAAAAACTATTTGATTAAAAAAAGATACTGAAAAAAAAAACAACTACTTTGGATAAGTACATTTTATGCGAAATTCGCAAAAAGTATAATTATCATTAAGGGGTCCAAACTTTCTAGCGCTTTCCCCTGCAGACAACTTGATCATATTTATTAGCTGCTGCCCTCTATATTTTGGGGATCAAGAATAGTAATCCTTTTGAAAAAAAAGGTATGTTTTTTCAGAGGAAGTACGTTTTTGTGTCTGATTTCGTAATTTAAAATATCGTCTGTACTTATTAATCAGCATTTTTGAGGTCGCCTCCTCAAATCATTAAGATTGAGTCCTGGTGCTTGAAAATGCCATCATTAGTTGAAAAGTTATTCAAGGGTTTCGTTTATTTATTTATTTATTTTTAATTTTTATTATTGTACATAGCATTACAATAAAATTATGACTCGGTGAGATAATTTGCAAATGAGAATGTTCTGAATAATATCAGAACAAATATAGCTGCACAAATCAATCATATAAAAATATAACAACCGAATATTAAAATATCATTGTTGTAAACAAAACATTATTTATGCATTGAAAGCAAAAATAAACGAAAAATACGAAATTTTTAATTTTTATTTTTCGATTCCGTCTGAGAAGCGCGATCAATAATGCTATTCCAACATATTATGTTTTCATCATTTTTCATACTTTAAAAACAGCCTTTATTTGATTTTTTTTTTAAGTTCTTCAAGAATTTTGAATTCCATTTTAGCTCTCTTATATATAAAAATTCAAATGAGAAATAAATCTGTAGGCAGGGGTTGTTTTAATCTGTTTATAGATTTTTTAAAAATTATTGTTATTTTTATTTAAAGAAATCCTACTTGGGGCAGAATGTACTTACCAGTGACGATAAAATAGCTTTTACTGATTGTTCAGTAACTTTCACCCTTCATTTTTACAAGGAGGGAAAAAAAAAAAAGCTTTCCTACGCATGAAGCTTAAGTAGCTTGAAAGCTTAATTTTTTACAAGATCTTGGAAAAACTACATCCCACCAAATTCATTAATTTTTTTAATGTTGATAGAGAGCTATTTTCCTCCTTATGATTTGTGCGACTGTGCCTTGAAAACTTCAAAAAATGGGAAAACGATATTAATAAAGAGTATTTTTTTGCATAATGTGAGTAACAGTGAGGATTAGCGTAGAGCTATTTTCACTTCTGCATTATGCGTTCGTTCTTTTTATCATTTCTCATGATTCGAAAAACAGCCAATTCTTTACAGTTAATAAACTTTTGAAAAATTACAAGACAAAAAAATTATTTTACAAATTGAATTAATTTTAGGTTAAAAGCAAAATGAATTTCTTTTATTAAATCAATCTCAATTCCCAAAAAATTCGAACATAATGTCACTAGAAAAATTTGGCGCTATAAGAAGTTAACTAATCGAAATGAAATTTCTGATGGCATCTTTATGCAAGATATATTAAGATTTATAACAATTGAGTTTTCACAATTACACTTACAGTGAATAAATGAACAAATTTCGGATGTAAAAAATACAGGAAATAAAGTTGGAAAGATATTTTTAACATAAAAATCACGGGGATATAACAGAAATTGAAGAAAGGATATTTTCATATGATTTCGACTACTGAACGAGCCAAGGAAAAAAAAAACACAGCTATCTATATGCTGCATCGTGCTCTCTTCATCTCCGTTTAGCGCTGTCACTATTCCTCTAAAAATGTTGTTTTACTTCAATTGAAAATTACTGTGAGGATCATGTATCGATGTGCTTAAATAGTTGTTTGTTTTTGTAAATTTTAAAATTTGTTCCCTGTAAATGTACCTGGGCCGTTCCATTGTTTTTTAAATCCTCAAGATATCGAACGCATATCTGCGCATAACACCGCTCACAGCTTTGTTCCAATTGTTCAAGTTAATAAACACTAGAGATTTATATGTAGAGCAATTCATTTCATGACTAACCTGAATTTTTTTAATCCTTACACACACACTCCTGTAAATAAAATTAAAAAAAGTATGCACACATGAAGAGTCACAAATTCATATTTAAATTAAAATAGATGATATCAAAATCTGACGAATGATTATTTAGGAAGGCGAGACTCCAAAACATGAAAACCAGTTTGATTTCCGAATGAAACTCGAAGGTGATTCTACAATCGGCCTGACACTTCTGTATCACATTGATTTTAATGCTTTTAGTCCTGTCTTCCTCAGATTCATATGGGTATTTAACATTATTCTCGTTCAAATATTAAAATGCAATCCACAATGTATCATTTTTACTTTATTTATGACATGAATCCTCAAAATTTATATTTAGGGTGGTAGTTACGTATCACCCAAATTTTCAAAATT